GGGTACAGGGCACTAACATGGCAACGGCCGATAGTGGCTTAAGTAGAATAAGGGTACCGGGCACTAACAGGGCAACGGCCGATAGTGACTTAAGTAGAATAAGGGTACATGTCACTAACAGGGCAACGGCCGATAGTGGCTTAAGTAGAATAAGGGTACATGGCACTAACATGGCAACGGCCGATAGTGCCTTAAGTAGAATTAGGGTACAGGTCACTAACATGGCAATGACCGATAGTGGCTTAAGTTGAATAAAGATACAGGGCACTAACATGGCAACGGCCGATAGTGGCTTAAGTGGAATAAGGGTACATGGCACTAACAAGGCAACGGCTGACAGTGGCTTAAGTAGAATAAGGTTACAGGGCACTAACAGGGCAACGGCCGATAGTGGCTTCAGTAGAATTAGGGTACAGGGCACTAACATGGCAACGACCGATAGTGGTTTAAGTAGAATAAGGGTACAAGGCACTAACATGGCAATGGCCGATAGTGGCTTAAGTAGAATTAGGGTACAGGGCACTAACATGGAAACGGCCGATAGTGGCTTAAGTAGAATAAGGGTACAGGGCACTAACATGGCAACGGCCGATAGTGGCTTAAGTAGAATTAGGGTACAGTGCACTAACATGGCAACGACCGATAGTGGCTTAAGTAGAATAAGGGTACAGTGCATTAACATGGAAACGGCCGATAGTGGCTTAAGTAGAGTAAGGGTACAGTGCACTAACATGGCAACGGCCGATAGTGGCTTAAGTAGAATTAGGGTACAGGGCACTAACATGGCAACGGCCGATATTGGTTTAAGTAGAATAAGGGTACAGGTCACTAACATGGCAACGGCCGATAGTGGCTTAAGTAGAATAAGGGTACAGGGCACTAACAGGGCAACGACTGATAGTGGCTTAAGTTGAATAAGGGTACAGGGCACTAACATGGCAACGGCCGATAGTGACTTAAGTGGAATAAGGGTAAATGGCACTAACATGGCAACGGCCGATAGTGCCTTAAGTAGAATTAGGATGCAGGGCACTAACAGGCCAACGGCCGATAGGGGTTTAAGTAGAATAAGGGTACAAGGCACTAACATGGCAACGGCTGATAGTGGCTTAAGTAGAATAAGGTACTGGGCACTAACATGGAAACGGCCGATAGTGGCTTAAGTAAAATAAGGGTACAGGGCACTAACATGGCAACGGCCGATAGTGGCTTAAGTAGAATTAGGGTACAGTGCACTAACTTGGCAACGACCGATAGTGTCTTAAGTAGAATAAGGGTACAGTGCACTAACATGGCAACGGCCGATAGTGGCTTAAGTAGAATTAGGGTACAGTGCACTAACTTGGCAACGACCGATAGTGTCTTAAGTAGAATAAGGGTACAGTGCACTAACATGGAAACGGCCGATAGTGGCTTAAGTAGAATAAGGGTACAGGGCACTAACATGGCAACCGCCGATAGTGGCTTAAGTAGAATTAGGGTACAGGGCACTAACATGGCAACGACCGATAGTGGCTTAAGTAGAATAAGGGTACAGGGCACTAACAAGGAAACTGCCCATTAACGTCGGTCAATATAAAAAAAAAAAACTGTGACGTCAGAGTGACCGCGAAAACGATTTAAAAATTTTGATTGTGAAAGCTCTTCAATCTTCACTTCAGTAAATAGAAATGGTCGTCCGCCATGGGGTACAATGACCCGTGGGGTACATTGACCCGTGGGGTACAATGACCCGTGGGGTACCATGACCCGTGGGGTACAATGACCCGTGGGGTACCATGACCCGTGGGGTACAATGACCCGTGGGGTACAATGACCCGTGTGCTACTCTGTCTAACAAGACTTCAGCAACAGTAACATTTAAAGAACAAAGATCTGATTTTAAAGAACAAAGATCTGTTTTTAAAGAACAAAGATCTGATCCCAACATTAAATCTTACCGTCAAGTAAGTCAAGAGTAATCGATACATAATTTATTGACATCTAATCGGGTTATATCCAAGGGGAGAGAACCAGAACTGACACATGTCAGCCAGATTATCTGCGAATTTTGTACCAATTCGTTCTATTTTTAGCCCTTTTGAAAAAAAATGTCCAATAAAAAAAAGTATATTAAACAGGAAGCTATAGATTATCACAAACTGAGATAATCTTCCTTCTCCTGTTACCGCCTATGATTCGCTACTGACTTGTGCTTTGAAAGAAATGTTTACTCTTAACGTAAAGAGTACAGTGCACACAAGTTAAACCGTTCTATACTCTATCTTAACGTAAAGTATACCAGTGAAAACAAGTTAAACCATTTCTTTTTTTCAACTCTAACAAACAACTCTACACACTTTTATAAAAGAACAAGTCCCTGATTATTTTCAAACAAGTTATGAAACCTTTCTTTGTAAGTGATGCTACGACGCAATGCGAATGTTGCCAGTCAGTTGACGGTGACAGAACACTTTTTATACAGCATGTGTTAGACCGTTTAGCTCTGCTTAGTGTGACATCCGGCAATCTTATGGAACACAAAGCAATGTTTTATAAGTGCCACGTGGATTCGTTCTGGAAAGATGTTTGTGGAAAACAATCCATGTTAGAAGTTCATGACCATGGGGGTCAAGAAGATTATTGCCTGGGAGAGCTGCACGTGCAAGCAGAGATTGATCATGCCGACGTTCACACTGACGTGACACTGACGATCTCATTGATGTGAAAGCTGACACTCACACTGGCTTGACACTGATGATCACACTGACGTGACAGCAAGGAGCATACTGAATTGACACTGATGATTACGCTGACGATCACACTGACCTGAAACTGACGCTCACAGTGACGTGACACTGACGATCATACTGACTTGGCACTGTATATTAATCTGACGTGACATTGACGATCACACTGACATGACACTGACGATCACACTGACGTCACACTGACGTGACACTAACGAGCAAACTGACGTGACACTAGCGATCACACTGACGTGACACTAGCGATCACACTGACGTGATACTAACGATCACAATGACGTGACACTAACGATCACAATGACATGAAACTGAATATCACTCTGGCGTGAAACTGAAGCTCATACTGATCTAACACTGAAGATCACACTGATGATCACACTGATGTGACAGTGACAATCACACTGACGTGACACAAATGATCACACTGACGTGGCACTAACGATCACATTAATATAAATATTATTCTTGTATTTACTTTTTAAAAACATGCTTTGTAAATATTACTGAAATAATGTTATATCAATATCCGTGTTTATGATGCAATTTCAGTGTTTAGTAGGCAATGTCAGTGTTTGTTAGGCAATATCAGTGTTTGATAGGCAATGTCAGTGTTTAATAGGCAATGTCAGTGTTTATAAGACAATTTTATTGTGTGTGAGGCAATGTCAGTATTTGTGAGGCAATGTCAGTGTTTACGAGGCAATCTGAGTGTTTGTGAGGCAACGTCAGTGTTTTTAAGGCAATCTGAGTGTTTGTGAGGCAACGTCAGTGTTTTTAAGGCAATGTCAGTGTTTATAAGACAATATCAATCTTTGTGAGGCAATGTCAGTATTTGTGAGGCAATGTCAGTGTTTGTGAGACAATATCAATGTTCATAAGACAATGTCAGTGTTTAATAGGCAATGTCAGTGTTTGATAGGAAATATCAGTGTTTATGAGGCAATGTGAGTCTTTATTAGACAATGTCAGTGTTTATAAGACAATTTCAGTGTTTGTGAGGCAATGTCAGTGTTTGTGAGACAATGCCAGTGTTTATAAGAAAATGTTAGTGTTTTTAGTCAATGTCTGTGTTTGTGAGACAATGTCAGTGTTTGTGAATCAATGACAGTATTTTTGAGGCAATATCAGTGTTTTTGAGACAATGTCTGTGTTTGTGAGACAATGTCAATGTTTGTGAGTGAATGACATTATTTGTGAGGCAATGTCATTGTTTGTGACGCAATGTCAGTGTTTGTGAGACAATGTCAGTGTTTGTGAGTGAATGGCAGTATTTGTGAGGCAATGTCAGTGTTTGTGAGTGAATGGTAGTATTTGTGAGGCAATGTCAGTGTTTGTGACGCAATGTCAGTGTTTGTGAGGCAATCAGCATGTTTGTGAGACAATGTCAGTGTTTTTTAGACAATGTCAGTGTTTGTGAGACAATGCCAGTGTTTGTGAGACAGTGTGAACCTTCGACTAAGAAGATGTAAAAAACGGAGAGTCTCAAATTGTGTGTTCACAGACTCCAATAAAACAAATTAAAGTTTTAAAAACACGCAAATTGTTTTTCCTTGTATTCAAATTTCCCAAGGTCATGGTCAGAGTTTATTTTGTTTTTCTTGATTATTAAAACATTTTTATCAACATCCTGAGTTGAACCCAACTAGTTGTTGGTTGTATTGTAGCTTATTTTTTTTAAAGATGAAGAGATCAAGTAGATTCAGACGATCTCAAATTTGTCCTGTTAAATCCTGTGTACGTCCTGACAGAACAGACCAAAATAATTTAAACCTGTTAGTGCAGGGGTGGGCAAACTACGGCCCGCGGGCCGCATGCGGCCGGCAAATGGTATTATGCGGTCCTCGAAGGCATTTTTAAAAGTTATTTTGTTGAATTTTACAAAATTCGTGAACCGTTAGGAATATTTTAACATTTTTGATAAATTTTCTTTCTTCTTTTCTATTGTTTTAAACGTTCCTTGACGTTTGTCATGTAATGCTAAAATGCGAATTTACCGATTTGAATAGAGAGAAATGATTATCGTCGTAAAAATTGGACAAATATACATGCAGTATATGCCCCCCGCCCCCCATAGCTTTACATTTGTCAATGTGGCCCTCAGCACAAAAAGTTTGCCCACCCCTGTGCTAGTCTGTTGTGTAAGATCGGGTGTTTAACTCTCCAATAGACGTTTTTCGACGTACACAAAAGAAAGCCCACTAGTCGCGCCCAAGGGTTGCCTGAAAGGACCAAGTGTACGCTTGAAGTGTGTCGAAACACTTGGCCCAGTCTTATCATCCAACGTACGTTGCACATAGAGGGTCACGGATCGACGGAAACCTTAGAATTGTTTCGGTCCTTTAAGCAAATATTTCCAAATGAAACTTTTTACAACCGGGTTGACATTAAAATGAAATCATAAATGACTACACACATTTGATTGGAGTGCAGAGGACGTGCTTTCGTCATTGGAAGATCAGGATTATTCAGAGCTTGCGGCTGTAATATAACTGTTAGTGGAAATTGTTTTTAACTTAAAACGGATAAATTTAAACCTCATGAAGGCTGTAAAAAATATTCGTTGGAGATTAACGCCGATGATGTTGAAACATTAAAATAATCAAACAAGTGACGTAATGTAATCTAGAAATACGACAGACACGACATTGCCTCGCTATAGAAGTAATGTGTTTATTGTGTTGTTGATTCCTATAGTGTACAGGAACGGTGGGATTGATTTATTCAAACTTGGAAGTTCAAGGTCTTATCATATTGTTCCAGTTACAGTAGGAAGCCTTAACATGGTCATCTTGCGAGATAACACACTAAGTGCACATTAATATTATGTGAAAACATAACTTTCATTTCACAAAGCTGTCTCTTGTATTTCATTCAGTCTATATAATAATCTTAGACTGCCTGATGCATTTTTAAATATTTCTGTCAACCTTTGTGCTTCATTCTATCGGGTTTGTGGGGTTAAAACTGTTTTATTTATAGACAATGAATCTATTTAAATAATTTATTAGAAGTCTTCTATGTAGAATGTAGACAATTACTGAACAAATGCTCTAAACTTCAATGATCGAAACTCCATTTATTTGTTGAAGGTGTTAGATAGGTGTCTAGGCGGTATCTAGTAGGGATGTCTAGAAGGGGTGTGTAGGATGGGTGTGTAAGAGGGGTGTGTAAGAAGGGTGTGTAGGATGGGTGTGTAGGATGAGTGTATAGGATGGTGTGCAGGATGGGTTTCTAGGATGGGTGTGTAGAATGGGTGTCTAGAATGTGTGAACGATGGGTGTGTAGGATGGTGTGTAGGATGGGTGTCTAGGATGGGTGTGTAGGATGGTGTGTAGAATGGTGTGTAGGATGGGTGTGTAGGAGGGGTGTGTAGGTTTGGTTTCCAGGACGTATGTGTACAATGGGTGTCTAGAATGGGTGTGTAGGAGGGGTGTGGACGATGGGTGTGGAGAATGGGTGTCTAGGATGGGTGTGTAGGATGGGTGTCTAGGATGGGTGTGTAGGATTGGTTTCCAGGACGTGTGTGTACAACGGGTGTCTAGAATGGGTGTGTAGGAGGGTTGTCTAGGAGCAGTATCTAGTAGGGATGTCTAGGATGGGTGTGTAGGATGGGTGTGTAGTGTAGGGTGGGTGTGTAGGATGGATGTCTAGGATGGGTGTGTAGGAAGGGTGTCTGGGACGGGTGTCTAAAATGGATGTGTATGATCGGTGTCTAGGATGGGTGTGTAGGATGGGTGTCTAGGATGGGTGTGTAGGATGGGTGTGTAGGAGAGGTGTTGAAGTTAATATGTTATGAATGCAATATTTCAGATTACGTCATGCCATCTCTGAGCAGACGACCAGGATTGGGTGACCGTTGCAGACGAAGGATGGACAAAATGTGTATTGCTGTATTACTTCTCAATGCCATCATATTGATCTTTTACAATCGAATGGGTAGTTCGATACAGTTGATTGGGGCAGGTAAGAAAGAAAACTTTGAATGTATTCACTATTCTGATATTGTTTGTTAGTTTTTTTTTAAATATTCTTTATGTTAAATTCGCTTTTATTGGTGGCTGGCTGGCGCCTGACTGGCGGACTGGGTGGCGGACTGGGTGTCTGACTCGGTGGCTGACTCGGTGGCTGACTGGGTGGCTGACTGGGTGGCTGACTGGGTGGCGGATTTGATGGTTGACTGGCTGGTTGACTGGCTGGTGGACTGGCTGGTGGACTGGCTGGTGGACTGGATAGTGGACTAGGTGGTGAACTGGCTGGTGGACTGGATTGTGGACTAGGTGGTGAACTGGGTGGTGGACTGGATAGTGGACTAGGTGGTGAACTGGCTGGTGGACTGGATTGTGGACTAGGTGGTGAACTGGGTGGTGGACTGGATAGTGGACTAGGTGGTGAACTGGCTGGTGAACTGGTTGGTGGACTGGGTGGTGGACTAGATGGCGAACTGGGTGGTGGCTTAGGTGGTGGACTGGCTGGTGGACTGGCTGGTGGATTTGCTGGTGGACTGGCTGGTGGACAGGGTGTTGGATTGGGTGGTCGATTAGGTGGCAGACTGCCTGGCGGACTGGCAGGTGAACTAGGTGGCGGACTAGGTGGCGGACTGGCTGGTGGACTGGATGGCGGACTAGCTGTGGACTGGCTTGTGGACTTGCTGGTGGACTGGCTGGTGGACTGGCTGGTGGACTTGCTGGTGGACTGGCGGGTGGACTGGCAAAATCTTGGGATGGCTAATGGACCCGATTCCCGTCTAGCTCTCGAGCTGAAACTTGGCACATAGATTCTTATCCGATAACAACACATTGTATCGAATGTTCAATCCCAACCTCCAAAAATCACCAGTTTTCCAAAGGATATGGACGAAATGGGATGCCGCTGATTTCGTGAAATAAAATTTCCGTTAACTGTGCTAAATTAAATTCTTTTTTTTTTTAATATCGCAAGTGCGTTTGGTGGGTAAAATATTTTTTTTCTGAAATATTTGGTTAAAGAAATCAGCAATGTCAAAGCGGGAGGGTCATTAGAATATTAATATAATTCAGGGGCGTGGAAAAAATGCTGTAGCAAGCCTTGCAGGAGGGGGGAGCACTAATTGTAATTCTTATGAAGTGTGTTACTTGCATTCATGTTTTGTCAATTTTTAGCCCCCTACCCACACACCCACAAAAAAAAGGGGGTTCGAAATTACTTTTTATAAATATTTATATGAAAAACTTTGTTTTTAGGGTTTTTTTTATTTATTCTTTTTTTCGTAATCATCTTCAATACGTTTTAAGCAGTTAAAACTTGTGGACCCCTGCTACTGACAGCTTATTCTTACTAAACATTTATAATGTATCCCCATTGGACTGAGTGCTCGGAGGCAATGTCATCGAGACAACGAAAAACAATACCAGCAATCCATTGGATGTGACTCGTTAGGCAAACTATGAAATCACACATCAAAACGGAGTCCCACAGGCAGGCTGACATTGAGCACAGGGAGATACACGAGAAAACTTCTGGTCGTCTACTGCATCGTGGTCTATTTCCAGTCTTCATCACAAGTCTTGCCTTTGGGTCAAATAAGCAAGGAGGAGAGAGTGATGCTGACGAATTGAGTAATGATCTCCCTTGAATCAAACTACAGCTCACTTTAAGGCTTCTACTCAAGTCGAACATTGATTTGGTCATCTTTCCGCGCGAGGGACGAACAATAAAAAATAATTATCAGACATTTGATGGACAGCTTAGTCTTACCGGACATTGTATTATATTCCCGTTTTCAATTATCTTCAATGTACATTATCTGATCTACATGCATCTAGGTGGCTAAAAGATAGAGATATAGATATAGGTAGTTAATAGATAAATAAATACACACACACACACATATATAAATATACGGGGTGACCCAAAATAGTGAGAACATCTGATAGCAAAGGTTTATTTCATAAAATTGAATTAATACAATGTTTTGTCACTTATGGCCACCTGAAATTGTCATGATAATGACACCATAAAGTTATGTAGGTACATAAGTAGATCAGTGAATGTATAAAGTTAAGAAATGTTGATATAATTATATGACATTGTAAGAGATGTTTGCAATTTTTCTGGGCCCTCCTGTATATGTAAAGGGTTTTTTAAAGAGATCTTGTTTGATCTAGGTTGTTAAAAGATGTTTTTGATCTAGGTTGTTAAATATCTATATTTATCTCGGTCTAGGTCGTGGCATGAAAAAATCTGCACCCGGGCCATATCTTTATGTCACATCTTTAAGCCGCCTCCCTGATTTAAAAAGATCAGACAGTTTACTGTGGTCTTATCGTGACTTCCTCATTTCAAGACAACAATCATTTCATTTCTATATTTATATAATATTTTCATTGGACTCCAGTGCATATAGTAATGTGCTTGCTCAAACCCATGCTTGCTGCCGATACATTTAGATTAAGGAAAAGTGTCCGATCCTTTCATAAACCTGAAACCTTTCCGTTTGTCATCAGACACAGCAAGCTGTCAAAACCTTATCCTCAAATGGCGTCAAGGGGTCAGAGGAGGCCAGCAGGACTTTGGCAGACGTGACGAGGTCAGCGACCTTCTGAAAGACGTCATTAAGGGTTGGGAGGATGTGAAAAATCGAATCGATGACGTCATGAAAAGAGACGCTGCCGTAAATTATCTTAATAATGCATCCAAAATGGAGACCGTCAAAGGAGGAAGTGACGTCAGAGATGTTAGACACGAGGAATCACTGGAGAGAAATGACCACGAAAGACGAGACAAAATATTGGAACATTTCCAAGAACAACAAGAAGTCAAAGATTTGTGTCCCCTTGTGTCCCGAGGACTTGGTGAGTGTGGTGCCTGTTATAATAAATGTTGTATGACATCAAATCTATTGCTGTATGACATCAGATCTATGGCTGTTAGGCCTCAGATCTATTGCTGTCTGGCTTCAGATCAAGTGTTAATGTTACATGACCTGAGATCTAGTGCTTTAACTAAATGTTGTATTGCCTCAGATCTAGTGTTGTAACTAAATGTTGTATTGCCTCAGATCTAGTGTTGTATCTGAAGGTTGTATTCCTTCAGATCTAGTGTTGTAACTAAATGTTGTATTTCCTCAGATCTAGTGATGAAACTAAATGTTATTTTGCCCCAGCTCTAGTTTTGCACCGTACCAGCACGTGTTACACTATTAATTGTCTCATTGGTACGACTCGAAACATATATCACTGTATCCATCCAATCCACACTATTTTCAAAACTATTTTACACTAACGTGCCCAACCCAATGATCCCGTCTAATCCTAAAAAACTAACTAATATTTCCAGAGGGTAATCCTAATAAACTTTCTTATAATACAAGAGAGGAATTCTAACAAACAATCTTATATTTTCATAGAGTAATCCTAACAAACTATCGTATATTTCCAGAGGATAATCCTAACTAACTTTACCTGATAGTTCCTGAAGGAAATCCTACAAAATATCTTAAATTTCCATAGGGTAATCCCAACCAGCTAATTTAAATTTCCAGAGGGTAATTCTAAGAAACTATCGTATATATTTCCAGAGGGTAAAACTAACAAACACGCATAATATATTTCCAGAGGTTAACACTAACAAACACTCGTATATTTCCAGAGGGTAATCTAAGTTGTAAGTGTGAACCTATCACACCAAAGGAACTGCAGACCCGTTTCCCTGAGCTCAAAGATGGCCGCCTCATGCCTACTGACTGCATCGCCAGGGAACGGCTTGCAATAATCATACCTTACAGGTAAATTATGGGCTGTAATCATTCTATACAGGTAAATTATGGGCTATAGTTCTTCTATACGCAGGTAAATTATGGGTAATAATCTTTTTATACAGGTACATTATGGGCTATAATTATTCTATACACGTTCGTTATGGGAAATAATCAATCTATACAAGTAGATTATGGGCTTTCATCATTCTATACAGGTTATTTATATGGGGGGAAATCATTTTGTGCAGATTATACAGATATACTATCATGTCCTAATACAGATATACTATCATGTCCTAATAAAGATATAGGCCTACTGTCATGTCCTAATACAGATATACTATCATGTCCTAATACATATATACTATCATGTCCTAATAAAGATATACTGTCATGTCCTAATACAGATATAATATCATGTCCCAATAATGCCTACTTATGTGAATCTGTATCACTTCTCCCTGCCTACTAATGTGAATCTGTATCACTTCTCCCTGCCTACTAATATGAATCTGTATCACTTCTCCCAGGGACCGCTTCTCACATCTCCACGTATTACTTGACCAGCTCATACCAATCTTAAAAAAACAACAGGCTGACGTCACATTTTTCGTTGTTGAGCAGGTAAAACAAGTATTACCTTTGATGCGTTTCACCAATATGTGAGTCATGTTAAGACCTTTGTGAGAATAATGGCTGTGTTTTATTTGGTACTTGATAAGTTACATATACATCTATTTAAACACTTGGCAACATCTATTTAAACACTTGGCAACATCTATTTATACAATGGGCTAAAATAATTTATACACTTGGCTATATTATTTATACACATGGCTACAATGATTTATACATTTGTCTACACCTATTTATACACTTGGCTATATTTATTTATGCCCTTTGCTACATCCCTTTATATACTTGGCTGAAGCTATTTGTAGATCCGCTACTTGTGATTACACAACAAAACACTGTCATTTCATTTCCAAAATGCTGTCATTACATATTCACAACAACGTGCTGTCATTCTATAGCCATAACAAAATACTGTCATTCCACCGACACAAAACAATGATGTCATTTCTTGTCCACAACAAAATGCTATCATTCCATACTCACAACAAAGTGCTGTCATTCATACAATGTTTTCGTGGTGCCTACTCATAGTTTGATTGATGGAAGTCATTAGCTTGGTAGATCTTTGCAATGTCCCCCCATGTCTTCTGTCGCCCACTCAGGCAGGAGATGAACCTTTCAACAGAGCCTTGCTGCACAATGTCGGCTTTTTGGAATCTGCGAAAGTTGGCAGCTTTGACTGCTACGTATTCCATGACGTCGACCTCGTGCCAATGAACGACAACAATTTCTACAGATGTGCCGCCAACCCTCGATTATTTGCGGCAGCTATTCAACGCTATGGTAAACGTAAACCCAGGTTAGGAAGTCAAGATGTGACTCAGATCAGGAGTTCTTGGCTTGTGGTCCACGGACCCCTTTTTTACAAGGTTTTTAGGGGTCCTTGAGATGCATTGCCTTTGTAATTGTATTATTTATTTGTTCATTTCTTGTACTAAATAGAGGTCAGTTGCCTTTGTCTTACTGGCCAAATTGTCCATGGATCAAAAACAAACAAAAGAATTAAGAACTCCTGATCTAGATACTTCTCATTTGATGGACACATATTGTAGCAGTAATATTGATGTTTATGTTCAGTTTAATCAATGTGGGTGTGCATATGACAGTGATGCACTAATAACGATGCACTAATATTTGACTTATCCCCCCCCCCCAAGGATCATGTACCACGGTTATTTCGGCGGTGTTGTGGGGTTCTCCAAGGCCCAGTACCTGGACGTCAACGGCAACTCCAACTTGTACTTCGGTTGGGGAGGGGAAGATGATGATCTCTTGTTAAGGTAAATATGTGTACCACTGGTGCACGGAAAGGTAAATATGTGTACCACTGGTGCACGGAAAGATAACTATGTGTGCCACCGATGTACATAAAGGTAACTATATGTGTACTACTGGTGTTTGGAAGGTAAATATGTGTAACACTGATGTACGAAAGTGTCACATAAGTACGGAAGTGTACAATATCTCACTTAACATTCATGATCTATGGAACACTGAACAAGGCAACTAATAATAACATTCATGTTTTTTTTTATCTATAGAACACTGAACAAGACAAATAATAATACATTTGATGTTTGTTTGATCTATAGAACACTGAACAAGGCAAATAATAATAATATTGATGTTTGTTTGATCTATAGAACACTGAACAAGACAACTAATAATAACATTGATGTTTTTTTGATCTATAGAACACTGAACAAGGCATCTAATAATACATTTGATGTTTGTTTGATCTATAGATCACTAAACAAGGCAACTAATAATAATATTGATGTTTTTTTGATCTATAGAACACTGAACAAGGCAAATAATAATAATATTGATGTTTGTTTGATCTATAGAACACTGAACAAGGCAACTAATAATACATTTGATGTTTGTTTGATCTATAGAACACTAAACAAGGCAAATAATAATAATATTTAAGTTTGTTTGATCTATAGATCACTGAACAAGGCGACTAATAATAATATTGATGTTTGTTTGATCTATAGAAAACTGAACAAGGCAACTAATAATACATTTGATGTTTGTTTGATCTATAGATCACTGAACAAGGCAACTAATAATAATATTGATGTTTGTTTGATCTATAGAACACTGAACAAGGCAAAAAATAATAATATTGATGTTTGTTTGATCTATAGAACACTGAACAAGGCATACAAACACGTGAGGTTGAACACTCAAGTTTACCACTATCGAATGTTGAAACATGAGCGGAATGACAGGAAGAGAGGAAACGTGGACAGGTGAGAGAGGAATGACAAGAGAAAGGGTCACGTGGATAGGTGAGAGAGGAATGACAAGAGAAAGGGTCACGTGGACAGGTGAGAGATGAATGACAAGAGAAAGGGAAACGTGGACAGGTGAGAGAGGAATGACAAGAGAAAGGGGCACGTGGATAGGTAAGAGAGGAATGACAAGAGAAAGAGAAACGTGGACAGGTGAGAGATGAATGACAAGAGAAAGGGAAACGTGGACAGGTGAGAGAGGAATGACAAGAGAAAGGGAAACGTGGACAGGTGAGAGAGGAATGACAAGAGAAAGGGTCAGTGGATAGGTAAGAGAGGAATGACAAGAGAAAGGGAAACGTGGACATGTGAGAGAGGAATGACAAGAGAAAGGGGTACGTGGATAGGTAAGAGAGGAATGACAAGAGAAAGGGAAACGTGGACAGGTGAGAGAGGAATGACAAGAGAAAGGGTAACGTGGACAGGTGAGAGAGGAATGACAAGAGAAAGGGGCACGTGGATAGGTAAGAGAGGAATGACAAGAGAAAGGGTAGCGTGGACAGGTAAGGGAGGAATGACAAGAGAAAGGGGCACGTGGATAGGTAAGAGAGGAAGGACAAGAGAAAGGGTAACGTGGACAGGTTAGAGAGGAATGACAAGAGAAAGGGGCACGTGGATAGGTAAGAGAGGAATGACAAGAGAAAGGGTAGCGTGGACAGGTAAGGGAGGAATGACAAGAGAAAGGGGCACGTGGATAGGTAAGAGAGGAAGGACAAGAGAAAGGGTAACGTGGACAGGTTAGAGAGGAATGACAAGAGAAAGGGGCACGTGGATAGGTAAGAGAGGAATGACAAGAGAAAGGGTAGCGTGGACAGGTAAGGGAGGAATGACAAGAGAAAGGGGCACGTGGATAGGTAAGAGAGGAAGGACAAGAGAAAGGGTAACGTGGACAGGTTAGAGAGGAATGACAAGAGAAAGGGGCACGTGGATAGGTAAGAGAGGAATGACAAGAGAAAGGGTAGCGTGGACAGGTAAGGGAGGAATGACAAGAGAAAGGGGCACGTGGATAGGTAAGAGAGGAAGGACAAGAGAAAGGGTAACGTGGACAGGTTAGAGAGGAATGACAAGAGAAAGGGGCACGTGGATAGGTAAGAGAGGAATGACAAGAGAAAGGGTAGCGTGGACAGGTAAGGGAGGAATGACAAGAGAAAGGGAAACGTGGACAGGTGAGAGAGGAATGACAAGAGAAAGGGAAACGTGGACAGGTGAGAGAGGAATGACAAGAGAAAGGGTCACGTGGATAGGTAAGAGAGGAATGACAAGAGAAAGGGAAACGTGGACAGGTGAGAGAGGAATGACAAGAGAAAGGGAAACGTGGACAGATGAGAGAGGAATTACAAGAGAAAGGGTCACGTCGTCAGGTGAGAGATGAATGACAAGAGAAAGGGTAGCGTGGACAGGTAAGAGAGGAATGACAAGAGAAAGGGAAACGTGGACAGGTGAGAGAGGAATTACAAGAGAAAGGGTCACGTTGTCAGGTGAGAGATGAATGACAAGAGAAAGGGAAACGTGGACAGGTGAGAGAGGAATGACAAGAGAAAGGGTCACGTGGATAGGTAAGAGAGGAATGACAAGAGAAAGGGAAACGTGGACAGGTGAGAGATGAATGACAAGAGAAAGGGAAACGTGGACAGGTGAGAGAGGAATGACAAGAGAAAGAGAAACGTGGACAGGTGAGAGAGGAATGACAAGAGAAAGGGTCACGTGGATAGGTAAGAGAGGAATGACAAGAGAAAGGGAAACGTGGACAGGTGAGAGAGGAATGACAAGAGAAAGGGTAACGTGGACAGGTGAGAGAGGAATGACAAGAGAAAGGGAAACGTGGACAGGTGAGAGATGAATGACAAGAGAAAGGGGCACGTGGACAGGTAAGAGAGGAATGACAAGAGAAATGGAAACGTGGACAGTTGAGAGAGGAATGACAAGAGAAAGAGGCACGTGGATAGGTAAGATAGGAATGACAAGAGAAAGGGTAACGTGGACAGGTGAGAGACGAATGACAAGAGAAAGGGGCACGTGGATAGGTAAGAGAGGAATGACAAGAGAAAGGGTAGCGTGGACAGGTAAGGGAGGAATGACAAGAGAAAGGGAAACGTGGACAGGTGAGAGAGGAATGACAAGAGAAAGGTAAACGTTGACAGGTAAGAGAGGAATGACAAGAGAAAGGGAAACGTGGACAGGTGAGAGAGGAATGACAAGAGAAAGGGAAACGTGGATAGGTAAGAGAGGAATGACAAGAGAAAGGGGCACGTGGATAGGTAAGAGAGGAATGACAAGAGAAAGGGTAACGTGGACAGGTGAGAGAGGAATGACAAGAGAAAGGGGCACGTTGATAGGTAAGAGAGGAATGACAAGAGAAAGGGTAGCGTGGACAGGTAAGGGAGGAATGACAAGAGAAAGGGAAACGTGGACAGGTGAGAGAGAAATGACAAGAGAAAGGTAAACGTTGACAGGTAAGAGAGGAATGATAAGAGAAAGGGTCACATGGATAGGTAAGAGAGGAATGACAAGAGAAAGGGAAACGTGGACAGGTAAGGGAGGAATGACAAGAGAAAGTGTCACGTTGATAGGTAAGAAAGGAGTGACAAGAGAAAGGGAAACGTGGACAAGTAAGGGAGGAATGACAAGAGAAAGGGAAACGTGGACAGGTAAGAGAGGAATGACAAGAGAAAGGGAAACGTTGACAGGTAACAGAGTAATGTTGATATTGACACAGTAATGTTGATGTATGGATGAATTGTGTCAATTTTTAAATTTTTTTTAATTTTTTTTTTGGTGTGTTGGGGGTATCATTCTACAGATGTTAAGATCGCAATGTTGATTTCTGAACTGTGATACTGATGGTTGGGTGATGCGATGATGGTAATGGTGATACTGATGGTTGGGTGGATGCAATGATGGGAATGGTGATACTGATGGTTGGGTTGATGCACTGATGGTAATGGTGATACTGATGGTTTGGTGGATGCAATGATGGTAATGGTGATAGAGAATGCATGTTATTCCATAGCATAGAAATTGATTGATATGGAGTAATATAATGAGCCAATAAAAACGAAGCTTCCTTCGTGAAGACAATAGTTGTGTATAAAATCATGATCACTGAAAGCATTATCAAAATGATAAAAGTGTCAACGCTGACTGACACAGTTCTAACCATTGAATTGTTATACAAACATCCATAAAAGTGTCAACGCTGACTGACACAGTTCTAACCATTGAATTGTTATACCAACATCCATAAAAGTGTCAACGCTGACTGACACAGTTCTAACCATTGAATTGTTATACCAACATCCATAAAAGTGTCAACGCTGACTGACACAGTTCTAACCATTGAATCGTTATACCAACATCTATGCAGAAAACTCTTACTGACGACCGCAGAGGACCGCCAGGACATGGAAGGACTCAGCACCACAAAGTACAAACTAAACGATGCACACTACGAGCCTCTCTATGTCTGGATTAATGTGTCCATGAATGTAACCGAAATACTCCAGGTGAGAGCAGGTGTGAGTGTAAGATATACTCCAGGTGAGAGCAGGTGTGAGTGTAAGATATACTCCAGGTGAGAGCAGGTGTGAGTGTAAGATATACTCCAGGTGAGAGCAGGTGTGAGTGTAAGATATACTCCAGGTGAGAGCAGGTGTGAGTGTAAGATATACTCCAGGTGACAGCAGGTGTGAGTGTAAGATATACTCCAGGTGAGAGCAAGTGTGAGTGTAAGATATACTCCAGGTGAGAGCAGGTGTGAGTGTAAGATATACTCCAGGTGAGAGCAGGTTTGAGTGTAAGATATACTCCAGGTGAGCGCAGGCTTGAGTGTAAGATATACTCCAGGTGAGCGCAGGCTTGAGTGTAAGATATACTCCAGGTGAGAGCAGGTTTGAGTGTAAGATATACTCCAGGTGAGAGCAGGCTTGAGTGTAAGATATACTCCAGGTGAGAACAGGCTTGAGTGTAAGATATACTCCAGGTGAGAGCAGGCTTGAGTGTAAGATATACTCCAGGTGAGAGCAGGTTTGAGTGTAAGATATACTCCAGGTGAGAGCAGGCTTGAGTATACCAAATACTCTAGGTGAGATCAAATGTGAGTGTAAGAAATACTCCAGGTGAGAGCAGGTGTGAGTGTAACAGAAAAACTACTTGTGACAGTAGTTTCCAATGGTAATTTCCAATAGAAATGGTTACCCGGTACACATATAAATGAATTAGAAGTTACCAGGTTTGGTATATTTTAACCTGTGTATGAATGAACACCTCTATAATGACGTAGACATAATCTCACCTTTACCCCTCCTCTCCCCCCCCCCCAAAAAAAATCGTTGAAATGCAACCAAAGTTAAGTTTATTTTTAAATTAGTCTTACACGTTGTCAGTAAAGTAACTTGGGTCCTGTAATAGTTTGGGCTGAGTGGGTCCTGCAATGCCTGTGACTGCAGTGGTTACTGCAATACCTTTGACTGCAGTGGGTCCTGCAATACCTTTGACTGCAGTGGGTCCTGCAATACCTTTGACTGCAGTAGCTTCTGCAATACCTTTGACTGCAGTGGGTCCTGCAATACCTTTGACTGCAGTGGGCTCTGCAATACCTGTGACTGCAGTGGGTTCTGCAATACCTTCGACTGCAGTGGGCTATGCAATACATGTGACTGCAATGGGTTCTGCAATACCTTCGACTGCAGTGGGCTCTGCAATACCTGTGACTGCAGTGGGTTCTGCAATACCTTTGACTGAAGTGGGCTCTGCAATACCTGTGACTGCAGTGGGTTCTGCAATACCTTTGACTGCAGTGGGTTCTGCAATACCTTTGACTGCAGTGGGCTCTGCAATACCTGTGACTGCAGTGGGTTCTGCAATACCTTTGACTGCAGTTGGCTCTGCAATACCTGTGACTGCAGTGGGCTCTGCAATGTCTTGGGTTTCAGTGGGCCGCAGTTAATTAACGGGCCCGTTTTTTTAATGTGGAAATCAATAATAAAAACTGTAATTGTCTTGACCAGTTAAATATGTGGCTGTTGTGGCATGTCATTGTCTTGACCAGTTAAATATGTGACTATTGTGACACTCTATAAAATTACTTTTCAAAAAAAAACCCACGAGTTACCAAAGCAACAGATCATCCTGACAAGAACATTTTCATGTTTGAAATAAAACGTTTGTTGAAAATGGGGAGGGGGGAGGGGGGTCAACTTTCGCATACTATTTCTTGCCCCTTATCGTTTCTTAGTAACGAAAAAAAGATTTAAAACGTCCTGTTTTTTAAATCGTTGCTTATATTTTGAATCAGCCAGGAACTAGAAAGCAGGAGGCGAAATGGGTCGACACTTTCCATGATGAGCAAGACTTTATTTAAGATTAACTTAAAATAATGTCTTTTATGCATACAAATGCAAGCACAGTTTAATTATAGATCAAATTCAATCATCCCCTAAAAAAATTTAAATGTTAATTTCAATTATTTATTTCATTGCGCCGCTAAAGGTTTGCTACTTATAACAAATTAGTTCAAGAATGAAAGTGAGCTCCCACTGGTGTCAGTAGATTGGATCTAAAGTGCTTTATCATTTAAATGGTCGATTAGAAAATACAGTTGCGAGACCAGTTGTTGTGGTGTTTTGACTTTTAAAATAATAAATTAAGGGCAATCCTCCGAAGTCCGGTCCCAAATTATTTCGTATGAAAAAAAATTGCAATGTACAGTGTCTATTGTTAGAAAACAGCAGAAATGTTAGTCATAGCTTTTGCAAATAACTGTCACCTTACAAACCAGTCAGTAAAAACTAAATATTGTATTTGTAATTGGCACATGACATTTGCAAATAGCAGCCGGAAACGTTCTGCTTGTGACTGTTGCGACACTGAAGGCTCCAAGTAGCTGGCAAACAGACTGCGACTAGTAACACTCTGATAGCGACTAGTACCACTCTGATAGCGACTAGTACCACTCTGATAGCGACTAGTACCACTCTGATAGCGACTAGTACCACTCTGATAGCGACTAGTACCACTCTGATAGCGACTAGTACCACCCTGATAGTGACTAGTACCACTCTGATAGTGACTAGTACCACTCTGATAGCGACTAGTACCACTCTGATAGCGACTAGTACCACTCTGATAGCGACTAGTACCACTCTGATAGTGACTAGTACCACTCTGATAGCGACTAGTGTCACTCTGACAGCGACTAGTACCACTCTGATAGTGACTAGTACCACTCTGATAGCGACTAGTACCACTCTGATAGCGACTAGTACCACTCTGATAGTGACTAGTACCACTCTGATAGCGACTAGTACCACTCTGATAGCGACTAGTGCCACTCTGACAGCGACTAGTACCACTCTGATAGCGACTAGTACCACTCTGATAGCGACTAGTACCACTCTGATAGCGACTAGTACCACTCTGATAGCGACTAGTGCCACTCTGACAGCGACTAGTACCACTCTGATAGCGACTAGTACCACTCTGATAGCGACTAGTGCCACTCTGACAGCGACTAGTGCCACTCTGATAGTGACTAGTACCACTCTGATAGCGACTAGTACCACTCTGATAGCGACTAGCACCACTCTGACAGCGACTAGTACCACTCTGATAGCGACTAGTACCACTCTGATAGTGACTAGTACCACTCTGATAGCGACTAGTAACACTCTGATAGTGACTAGTAACACTCTGATAGTGACTAGTAACACTCTGATAGCGACTAGTACCACTCTGATAGCGACTAGTACCACTCTGATAGCGACTAGTACCACTCTGATAGCGACTAGTACCACTCTGTTAGCGGAGTTTACGTTTCGCTTGCATCCAAAGTCCTTCAGTAGTTTCTGTGTGAATGTCCTGGTCTACTGTCTACTGGATCAACAAATACCCGCGCGTGCACAGTGACAGCGTGAACATAACCTCCGTTGTTGAGCTGAGCGACATGTTGATATCCTCGCCAAGCGTCCGTGACGATAGCTGTCCCTGGTAACACATGATGAGTGATAATGCGCTCGAGTGTTTGTGCATCTCGACGGCCGGCAATCTCCATCCAACATCGTCCACTAACGCAAACATGAATTTCAAAACAGAATGATGCCCAAGACTTTTAAGTAAGGAGTAATCATTGGAAATAATTTGGGACCGAAAATCCGGAGGATTGCCTAAATTAAGTATCCTTTACTAACAATATGCTTACGCTACGCATATTGCCGTGTGTGAACCCATCATAGCAATCATACTGTACACAGGACCAAATCCCATAATTGCCGTGTGTGAACCCATCATAGCAATCATACCGTACACAGGACTCATTATCGCATATTGCCTTGTGAGAACCCATCATTCCAATCATACCGTACACAGGACTCATTATCGCGTATTGCCTTGTGAGAACCCATCATTCCAATCACACCGTACACAGGACTCATTATCGCATATTGCCTTGTGAGAACCAATCATTCCAATCATGCCGTACACAGGACTCATTATCGCATATTGCCTTGTGTGAACCCATCATTCCAATCATACCGTACACAGGACTCATTATCGCATATTGCCTTGTGAGAACCAATCATTCCAATCATGCCGTACACAGGATTCATTATCGCATATTGCCTTGTGTGAACCCATCATTCCAATCATACCATTATTTGCTTTAATAAATCCACTAAATTGATGGAAGTTGTCACAAGCAGCAAAGATTGCTGTGTTCCTCCATGAGGTCACCATCAAATAATTTGAAATGTTACACTTTGTAAAAATTAGTTACTAACAAAAAATAAGCTGATCAACATTTTAAATGATGGGGGCCCGAAACCAAGAAGTGGCAGATGTCCTCATACGTCACAGTATACGGCTCCGGTTATCCTTGAACCATGACCTCTTTCACAAAATACGATTCTACAGAATTATATATCAATAAATATTTTAAAATTAATATCAATAAACATGTTCTAAATTATATATTGATCAAAATGTTATTTCTTTACAAAATAGACTGCGCCAGATTTCACGATGGACGTTCTGAAGCCACGACGTCCTGACAACGTGGCAAGCTGAGAGAACTCGTGTGATCATTGTTTGACACCGGACTATGATAGACGAGATGGACACAGGAGAATTTTACTGAGAAAAGAGAATAACATTTTCGTTGTTTGTAAATGACAGTTAACCATTGGCGTTGGCAAATAATGTCACTGGTGATCAGAAATGTCACTCGTCCTATATAGCATTGACCGTTGACCGGGCTGTCTGTTTAACGTTCTACACATGCGTCATTCCACTCATGCGTCATTCCACTCATGTGTCATTCCACTCATGCGTCACTCAGTCTTCTAACGCCAAATGGACAAGTCAACAAAGAACAAACCAGTTGAACATTGACTTCAAAGGCCAACTTTCTGACAACATTTAGAAGATATAACACATTCAAACATACTCATGGCCAGGGGCATCTACACCGGGGTGGGGGGGGGAGCAGTTGCTTCGAATCTGAGTTAGGGAGGGGGAGTAGCCCCCGCCCCCTTCCTGTCTCTTGAATTTCCCCTGGTAACAAAATTAACATGGGAAAGAAAACAAAACAACTTTACAGTGACTAACATTTTTTTTTAATGTTCTCGGGTTGGGGGGGGGGGATTGAATCAAATATAATCGATGTCAGTTGTCAGTATAACGTGGGGAGTTGAACTCCAACCCTGCGGCATGGACCAACTTACGTTGAGACCGCACTGCCATCCTCACCTGAGACCGCACTGCCACCCTCACCTGAGACCGCACTGCCACCCTCACCTGAGNGGGGGGGGGGGGATTGAATCAAATATAATCGATGTCAGTTGTCAGTATAACGTGGGGAGTTGAACTCCAACCCTGGAGCATGGACCAACTTACGTTGAGACCGCACTGCCATCCTCACCTGAGACCGCACTGCCACCCTCACCTGAGACCGCACTGCCACCCTCACCTGAGACCGCACTGCCACCCTCACCTGAGACCGCACTGCCACTCTCACCTGAGACCACACTGCAACCCTCACCTCTCCACTGATTGAATTTTAAGAATAAAAACCAGAATAAAAATCATAGGCCTCCGAGAATTCCTTTTTAAAAAAAAAATAATGCAAGCATTTGATAATTAAATTGTCTTAAAAAAGGAAATAGTTTGTTTTCAACATTGTTATTGAAGAGTCAGCAATGTTCGAACCATTTTTTAATGTAAATTTTTGTAATACTAATATTAATAATGAACCACCGAATGAAACAATAATACCATGGCTGGCATGACCACATTACAAAGTTTATATCAATGAAAGGACTGCTTTACCCTGTCCAAGGTCGGGGGGGGGGGGGCTAGGGTTTTGCTTCCACCACTCGGTTTGGGGTGTTGCTCAATGGATTTTATGTTTTAAACATTTTTAATGTAAATTTTTGTAAAACTAAAATTAATAACGAACCACCGAATAAAACAATAAAACCATGGCTGGCAGGACCACATTACAAAGTTTATATCAATGAAAGGACTGCTTTACCCTGTCCAAGGTCGGGGGGGGGGGGCTAGGGTTTTGCTTCCACCACTCGGTTTGAGGTGTTGCTCAATGGATATTATGTTTTAAACTAGTACTGTACAGGTTGGGATCATATATTTGAAACCAATACTGTACAGGTTGGGATCATATATTTGAAACCAATACTGTACAGGTTGGGATAATATATTTGAAACCAATACTGTACAGGTTGGGATCATATATTTGAAACCAATACTGCACAGGTTGGGATCATATATTTGAAACCAATACTGTACAGGTTGGGATAATATATTTGAAACCAATACTGTACAGGTTGGGATCATATATTTGAAAGCAATACTGTACAGGTTGGGGTCATATAATATTTGAAACCAATACTGTACAGTTGGGGTCATATATTTGAAACCAATACTGTACAGGTTGGGATCATGTATTTGAAACCAATACTGTACAGGTTGGGATCATATATTTGAAACCAATACTGTACAGGTTGGGATCATATATTTGAAACCAATACTGTACAGGTTGGGATCATATATTTGAAACCAATACTGTACAGGTTGGGGTCATATAATATTTGAAACCAATACTGTACAGTTTGGGGTCATTTAATATTTGAAACAAATACTGTACAGTTTGGGGTCATATATTTGAAACAGTAATGTACAGGGCTGGGGGTTGGGGGGGGGATCAGTGCTGCACAGGAAATTGTAGGAACGTTACAATTAAATTAATATTTTATTCGTTTATTATGTATGTCAAAATCCAGTTCAAAATCTAATCACCTTCCTCATCATGAATGTGTCCCCATAAAGAATGTGTCCCCATAATGAATGTGTCCCCATAAAGAATGTGTCCCCATAAAGAATGTGTCCCCATATTGAATGTGTCCCCATATTGAATGTGTCCCCATAATGAATGTGTCCCCATAATGAATGTGTCCAAATAAAGAATGTGTCCCCATAAGGAATGTGTCCCCATAATGAATGTGTCCCCATAATGAATGTGTCCCCATAATGAATGTGTCCCCATAAAGAATGTGTCCCCATAAAGAATGTGTCCCCATATTGAATGTGTCCACATAAAGAATGTGTCCCCATAAAGAATGTGTCCCCATAAAGAATGTGTCCCCATAAAGAATGTGTCCCCATAAGGAATGTGTCCCCATAATGAATATGTCCCCATAAAGAATGTGTCCCCATAAAGAATGTGTCCCCATAATGAATGTGTCCCCATAATGAATGTGTCCCCATAAAGAATGTGTCCCCATAATGAATGTGTCCCCATAATGAATGTGTCCCCATAAAGAATGTGTCCCCATAAAGAATGTGTCCCCATATTGACTGTGTCCCCATAATGAATGTGTCCCCATATTGAATGTGTCCCCATAATGAATGTGTCCCCATAAAGAATGTGTCCCCATAAGGAATGTGTCCCCATAAAGAATGTGTCCCCATAATGAATGTGTCCCCATAAAGAATGTGTCCCCATAAAGAATGTGTCCCCATAAAGAATGTGTCCCCATAATGAATGTGTCCCAATAATGAATGTTCCCCATAATGAATGTGTCCCCATAATGAATGTGTCCCCATAATGAATGTGTCCCCATAATGAATGTGTCGCCATATTGAATGGGTCCCCATAAAGAATGTATCCCCATAAAGAATGTGTCCCCATATTGAATGTGTCCCCATAATGAATGTGTCCCCATAAAGAATGTGTCCCCATAAAGAATGTGTCCCCATAAAGACTGTGTCCCCATAATGACTGTGTCCCCATAATGAATGTTCCCCATAATGAATGTGTCCCCATATTGAATGTGTCCCCATAATGAATGTGTTCCCATAATGAATGTGTCCCCATAATGAATGTGTCCCCATAAAGAAAGTGTCCCCATAATGAATGTGTCCCCATAATGAATGTGTTCCCATAATGAATGTGTCCCCATAATGGATGTGTCCAACTAAGGCCTCTATCATTTCAAAAAATGTATGCAGACTTAAACAACTAAATTGTCAGTGCTAGGAATCTACTAAGAATTCTTTTTGAGCCATAAAGTTAAAGCAGAATTTCCTCTAATCACGAACCCAGCATGTCAAATCTCAAGTGTAGCATTTGACAATTTAAAAGCTTATTAACCTACTTTGAATGTCCCCAGCTGGTCTGATTTCAATACTCTGAATGTATCCAGCTTGTCGGATTTCAATGATCTAAATGTATCCAGCTTGTCGGATTTCAATGGTCTAAATGTATCCAGCTTGTCTGATTTCAATGGGTGTAAAATTATTTTAAAAACAAAGGTGGATAATTTAAATTAAGGAAGTCTTTATTATATATAGGTTTTTTGTGTGCATCCCTGACACATGTATTGTTTTAACCTAAGACCTTAAAGATGCTCATTTTGAAGGGCCGTTGATACAATATAAAAATGTCCTCACTGATTGTTGCTTGATTTAATTTCAAACTTTTCCAACTAAATGGTGTTTGATCCAACTTCAAAGTACTTCATTGTGTAATCTAGGTTTTATGGATCATCTCAATGTCCTTGATCCTGGACACAACTTATTGTATGCTGGATAAAACCATTATTGTACTATAGGCGTACATTCATGCAACCCTCATTGTTATACAGGCATACATTAAATTTAATGCAACCCTCATTGTTATACAGGCATACATTAAATTTAATGCAACCCTCATTGTTAAACAGGCATACATTAAATTTAATGCAGCCCTCATTGTTATACAGGCATACATTAAATTTAATGCAACCCTCATTGTTATACAGGCATAAATTAAATTTAATGCAACCCTCATTGTTATACAGGCATACATTAAATTTAATGCAACCCTCATTGTTATACAGGCATACATTAAATTTAATGCAACCTTCATTGTTATACAGGCATACATTAAATTTAATGCAACCCTCATTGTTATACAGGCATACATTAAATTTAATGCAACCCTCATTGTTATACAGGCATACATTAAATTTAATGCAGCCCTCATTGTTATACAGGCATACATTAAATTTAATGCAGCCCTCATTGTAATTGTAATATTATATAGGCGTACATAAAAAACGCAATGTGCAATAAATAATCTATGACTTAGACAAACATCTAATCACATTGATGTACACACTAAATAAGCACTAAATAATGTGATATGATCACAATGATGTAAGTATTAAATAATGTGATATGATCACAATGATGTAAGCACTAAATAATGTGATATGATCACAATGATGTAAGTACTAAATAATGTGATATGATCACAATGATTAATGCACTAAATAATGTGATATGATCACAATGATGTAAGTACTAAATAATGTGATATGATCACAATGATGCAAGCACTAAATAATGTGATATGATCACAATGATGTAAGTACTAAATAATGTGATATGATCACAATGATGTAAGCACTAAATAATGTGATATGATCACAATGATGTAAGTACTAAATAATGTGATATGATCACAATGATGTAAGCACTAAATAATGTGATATGATCATAATGATGTAAGTACTAAATAATGTAATAATGATAACAATGATGTAAGTACTAAATAATGTAATAATGATCACAATGATGTAAGTACTAAATAATGTAATAATGATCACAATGATTAATGCACTAAATAATGTGATATGATCACAATGATGTATGCCCTAGGTCTTGAAAATGAAATAAAACTGTAAATTAACATTAATAGTAATCTTTAAAATGTTTGGAACACTGTCATCACTGATTACATTGGAAAGTCTGTCGTTAAGTTAATATTCGGAAGTCTATCATTAAGTTGTTAGTATTGGGAAGTCTGTCATTAAGTTTTTAACATTAGGAAGTCTGTCATTAAGTTGTTAATTTTGGGAAGTCTGTCATTAAGTTGTTAATTTGAACAAGTGATTTGTTTGTTTCTAAAAGAATGATAATTATTTACCAAAATTTTATATATCTAACGTTTTCACTGCTCAAATATTTTTAATGTGATGGATGCTAAGTAAGTGAGTGAGTGAGTAAATGAGTGAGTGAGCAAGTAAGTGAGCAAGCAAACATTGAAATTGAACTAAGTAAAGGAGTTTACTTTTT